TATCCTTTAGTGGGGCTGTTTTTTTTGGCACAGCAAAACTACTTAACATGGGATTTGGACATGATGGGCCATCTTCATCTCCACATGTAATATCTTTATTAGCAGTTTTAAGTTTTCCATCCTTATCACCATCAGTCTCAGTGTAGTATTCACCAAAATTAATTTCAGCAACATGAAAGTAGTGTCCATGAAGATGTACTGGATGAGCAAACAGAAAGTTAGGATTATCTTGCTCAACAGCTTTCTTCTTTCCGATTGCTGATAAAACTAATCTCACATATTTGTTATCAGTTTGTCCATCACTATTTACGTCTACTACATACGTGCAGTAACAATCAGGTGACAGTACTGTACCAGTTGCCATGCTACATGTTGCATGATGTCTAGCCTCTGTCCCACATCTCATTGGAATATCATTGTTGTTAGATAAAGTTGGTGGTTCTGTGGGCAGTTTTAAATTACGAGCATTTATAGTACTTGTACGACGTGGGCCTTCAAAAGCAAAATTGAAGAACAAGTCTTTCTTTATATTCATATTTGTTAAATCGTTCAAGGAAGATAGTGAATTCAAGTCATGGATGTGTATACATTTTGTCTTGTATTTTGAAGGAAAGTTTTCAAATGGGCAGTTTAGTGCCATGCATTTCTTATTGTCACATCTGTCCTTCAATATTTTAGAGTTCATTACAGTGGTCTTAATATTATTGTTGTTTTTAAGGTCATCTTTGTCATAAGTAAGTATGGCTTCAGCACGGTTCTCTTCTGCCAACCAATTGTCTGAATTTACTTCAAGTGTCACTGCACGTATCAAGAAATGCTTCCTTGTAGTATCAGTAGTATCATCCTTTTTGAGAAGAAAATCGTATCGCTCTCCTGAGTGAATTATGATAAAATCATATTCTTCCGATGGGTCAACAAACTCTCCATCTGTGGCTATTACCCTTAGCTTGTGTCCATCTATTGAGAAGCAATAGGCAAACAGGCTCTGAGCCCCAATCAATCGAAATCGATAAGTATTTCCCTCTGACACTTCAAAAACAGACAATTCAAATTTAAAATTATCAGTGTCAAGTTTTATGCCTTTATGTCTTCCCTTTCCATTGATAAGCCCTGACCAATAACTGACTGGTCCTACTTCTGCTCCATCAGATGAATATGTTTGATCTGACTGTTGCATAGTATTTAGCTTAGAAGCAACATCAACTTCAAAGTACCTGATACCAGAATGGATTTGTGTGAAGAGGTCCAGTGAGCTGCTTCTTTGCCAGTCTAGCAAAGTTAGAGTGTGATCTTCAGGATTGTCTTCATAATTGTCAATGTCAAGTTTGATTAGTTTGGCCATGAGATCCGTATTTTCATCCTTCTCTTTAACAATGAGAGCTCCAAAGAGTCCATCAGTTCTTTGAGCTCCACTGTGAGAGTGGTACCAGTGAGTCCCGTATGGTGTAGCTTCAAATATATAAGTAAAACTAGCCCCTGGTGGTATACCACACTGTGTAACATGCTCCACTCCATCCATCCAGTTACTGTTCCTTTGATGCATCCCATGCCAGTGTACAGATACACTCTCTGATGCTAATTTATTGATTACATTCACTTGAACCAACTGACTCTCATTAACAATGAGTGTTGGTCCTGGTATACGTCCATTGACTGCTATAAAGGAACGAAATGTTTCCCCATCAACAGTAAATGCTTCTGTACATTGATCATCAGGTGTGTCCCTTCCACAAGGCCCTGATGTACCCAATGGTTGTAACACACCCATATCATCAAAGTTCCAAACACGTCCAGCATTGCCACGTATATTCTCTTGCCTATCAGTAGTTGTGTCCACCTCATATTTAGTGAAGGTCTGCAGCATATCAATTTCCAGTGTAAACTCGCATTCATCATCAGGATCAGAAGCCATGCACTCACATACTGCAGTATTGTGATTGCATGTAACTTTTTCTGTATTTATTCCTCTTATAAAGAAGAGAGAGAATACAACTACAGCTTGTACAATAAGCATAGCTATACTACTTAGCAAAGAAAATCTTCTGGTAAGCACTTTTTGTTGAAGTAGCTATACTGACTTTTGGCTCTCTCTGTTTTATAATAGTCTAAAGAATTTCAGCTCACAAATA